TAATCTTGAGCGTTTGGGGGAAATAAGTTGGTTAGTGACTGTCGTGGCTAGTTTTGATCAGTTTTCATTTTCTGTAACATGTGCACAGGTTGGGGCTTCTATGTTGTGACAGTTTTTCTCAGAGTGCAATTCATGATGCATGTGAAAAAAAATCAAATTAACGTCCTGACCGTGATTAAATCCTTGTAGTGAGGTGGCGGAAATAATCTGATTGTTTGTTTGAAATAATAAGCATTAAAATGCTGAAAGGGTAATTTTATATAGATTTTAAAAAGTTCGGGGAGGGCGAGCATTACTCCAGCAACACTGCTGGACTTTAAGCCACGAATAAGTACAGGATTAGGTCAAGTGAAACCTCTGGATCTCGTTCGGTTGGACAGAAAGGCTTCGAAGATAAACTCGCTGTTAAGAATGGCGTATACCTCAGTATCCATTGGGATGTGCTAAAATGATCTTGTTGAGTATTATTAGGTCAGCTCAATTATCAGGACCAGCGTTATTAATCAGGATGTAAATCTTCTGTTCAATTGCTTTTACCAGTTTTTGTATGTTTTACTGTTTTGCCACTCACTGCGATTAGTTTTATTTGTCAAAAAGATTTTTTCTTGCTAGCTGATTTTATATTCGGACCTTTGGAGGTTAATCGTTGTCGCTGTCTAGTGGGTACCGCTCTTGACTGATATGTTTGAATAAGTGAATGCGAGAGAAGTTGTCGACGTGTTAATAGTTTTGGTATTACTTGTAGTAATCAAATTAACGAAACACGAAAGAGAACGAAAGTCGTTTGAAAATTGGGTCGTAGGGTGTGGATAAAACCGATTGACTACAATTGGAGGGATAGGATCGAAGAATTGGAGTGAAATACATACGTAGTAGGAAGAGGTGGGAAACGAGAGTAAGGGACATTAGGACGGGGTTGTGAATATTAGTATTTCAAGATTATTCTTTAGTTTGTTTTTCGTATCGACAAAATTGGGAAAATTGGTGGTTTTTGACGTACTTTATTTGCTGGGAAGTTTCTATTGTTTATGGGAACATGTGGCAACTATTTTTGTATCTTCTGTCTGCTTGTTGTGAAATCATTAATAACTAGAGGGTACTGGTGAAATTTTAGGTTGGAAGAGGCTAATGGTGTGGCACTGATCTGAAGCGTTAGGAGTGTTATGTTTTTCCCTTGCAGTAGGGTGTTGTTCGGGTTGCAAGTTGCTGGTGGAATTAAACAAGAGGCCGTCGTGCGTCATTAGTGTTTTTTCGCTTATGACACTTTTCCATTAGGGAAGTTTTTTCCAGTAAATTATCTGTGTATCGGGGGTATTATTTGGCAAAATATAAATGTTACTTATATGGGAAAAAGGAGCTTAAGGCATATGTGTCATTTTTCATATCGCGTTTCAATTGTTTAAGCTCATTTTAAAGAATAACGGCGGGGATTTTGGGGTTGTATTCTGTTCTTAAGGTACTACAGAAAAACTTGTATATGGAAAAACTTGAGGTTTTAGATCGATAGGGTGCCAT